CTATAACCTAGAACTCGGGGCTGGAGACGGGGGAATTGCCACAAGTTCAAGGCCAGCCTGGGCTACAAAGTAAGACCAACCCTGCCTTAAAAAAAAAAAAAAAATTTATACATACATACATACATACATATATATAATATATATAAAAATATTTATATATATAAAATGGAGGATGTCAAACTCAGGACAGTGGGATAAAAAAATTTTCTTAGTAACTTTAATAAAATAAGAGGCTGTCACAGGACAGAAAGATAACTATCAAGTAGACTGTTTTTCAGGGCAAGAAGCTGAGCAGCTAAACTGGACTTTGAAGTTCATTCAAGACTTCCTGAATTTTATGAGGGATGTTTTCGTCTCTCTGCCTCAACTTATCAAATACTTTCTATAAATACTTAAGGCTGAGATGTTTGAAAATGTTGAGAAATACACTTCAAGATTAAGATGATGCCATTTTTAGGTCTTCATAATAACTGGGACTTTGAACAGTAATGACCAGCTAACTAGCACTAGTGTCCTATCAGACTTTTAATGCTATCATAATGCAAAGGGGAAACCTGAAAACCCACAATGCCGCACACCTAGGCAATTCAACAAAGGCTCAGAAACTGCACACCTGAGTCTGGATCCCAGATGAGTTCAAGCACATAGCTGCAATTCAAGAATCGCCAGCACAACATTCTTTGTTCTTTTGGACACAGGAGAATGAGAATGTCTCCCCTACCAGGAGCCCTGAGGGCCAAGGATGCTTACTTACTTCAAACCAAAGCACTGAAGGATTTGTCTATAAAACCCTGAACCATGCTAGTAACCTCATCCTAACCCTGCAAAAGCAAGCAAACAGGGCAGCCTAACTGGAGCCCTGTAGGCTGTAGGAGGGATGGCAAAACCAAAACAGGGGACACCCCACCACTCTCACCTCAAGCTTTAAAAGGCTGAGTACCGCGCACGATCCGAATACTGCTCCCGCTCATACCGGGCCATGTTGTACAGGGAATTCCGCGCGGCTGCTGAAGCTTGGGACAACTCACTCTCATGCCCGTAACCGTAGCCCTCTCCAACAGTGGGGACTGGGCCTGGAGCACGACGGAGGGGGCTCCGATCCCGCCCATAATATGAAGTGGAAGCTGCAGTAGCAGCAGCTCCTGAAGACGGCAACAGATGTCTATTGTAGGGATCAAGAGAGGTAGAGGTGTGGTGACTGGCCATGGCCGTGTTCTGGACTTGTGGCAGCTGGGAGAGGGTCTGCTCTGCGTAATTATACGCAGCAGCCGCCACTGCCTCATAGGACTGGGCAGCTCGGCAGCGCTTGTAGTAGGCATCGAGCGCTCCGTACGTGTTGTTGTAATACAATGAATCCCCATAACTCATGGTGTAAGGCGCACGAACTGCTCCATATTGCTCATTATACTGCTCGGTCAAGTCTGCCACGCGGCCCGAACGATCTATGGGACACTCTTTGGACCAGTGCCCCTCTTTCCCGCACCGATAGCAGCCGCTCTGGTCTCCCATCCCGGGCGCAGTCCTAAGCCGGCTGGTGGACAACTGCACGTGCATTCGTTTGCCTTGAAGAAACAGACGCAAGAAGGGTTGCTATCAGGTAGTCACAGCCCAAGCCCCTACCCCAGCCTGGTCACAGCAATGGCTTCACCTAAGCAACTCAATGTGGTGACAAAAAATTTCCTGGAAGGGGAGAAAAGCCCAACATATAGATTCAGTATAAATAAATGACCTGATTTCAGGAAAAGATCAAGTAGATGAAGAAATATTGCAGTTATTAACCCCAGTTTAATGCTTAAGAACCTGCTTTTGCTGGAAAATAAGGGATTTCATTTACTGCCAAGTAACAGTGGCCCAACACAAAAGGAACTCAGAATAAGAATGTTCTACAAATCTGGCAGTTCCCATCTTCCATACAGAGACTGAGACTATGCAAGAAAAATGTAAAAGCCAATTTTATACCTTTTCCCTCAAATCAAAACAATAGTAAGATTCTAAAGTTACCTCCACTTAAGAGTGATCAGGATTTGCTCCTAAGATGAGCAGCAGTCAAGCTTCAAGCTACATCTTTGAAAGTCATGAATTGAAGAGGTCAGGGGACCCAAGGTAAGGTGGAAGAAAGTCCTCTTTCTCTTAAGGTATATTTTTTAATTGTTTTTTTTCTGACAACCACCCTAATAGGGATTATCCATAATCTGACTCAGTAGTCACAGGATCAAAGAAAAACTGAGCAGATGATCCACTCATATAGAAAGCGCATTTTGAGAGATTACTTAAAGAGAAGGACAAGAAAGGTAGAAAGAATGACCAATAGTATCAGTGAAACAAACCTCTTAGTGTAGCACAATCTAACTACTTTCTCCTTGAAGTGAGAGTGTGAGAGTTGGGTATAACGACACGTTTTAATACTGGAACTCAGGAGGCTGAGACTCCTTAACCTTGACACCAGTCTGAGTTACATGTGGCCTGCCTTCACACACACATCCTAATAAAAGGAACTTAAGTCACCCACATGGCAGCTATCAACCATTTGTAACTCCAGCTCCCAGCAATCCAACATCCTCTTCTGGCCTCTGCAGGCACTGAACAACACGGGTACAATTACATACATGCAGGCAATACATTCATACACATAATAAAAATTTAAAAATCCTTCCAGGTGTGGTGACGCACACCTTTAATCCCTGCACTCAGGAGGCAGAGCAGGCAGATCTCTGTGAGTTTGAGGCCAGCCTGGTCTACATAGCCAGTTCCAGGCCAGCTGGGGCAACAGCTCAAAAAAAAAAACAACACCAAATCCTCAACCTCTTTGCCTAAAATTTTCTACCAATGTCTACCAGTTTACTGGCAAGCAAATTCAGAAGGGACCCAAATCCAGCAAAACTTTCCCACTGTAAATGACTACAATGCATCCAAACACACAAGTTTCAAAGCGATCAACAGAAGAACGGGTTCTCTAACATTAGAGAAAGTGGTAAATAATCTCAACTACAAAATCAAATTCCAGAAGATTAGAACAAAAGGTGAAGGAACAAAAACAGACACAAAAAAGTAAGCATCACACCAATAATCTAGAGTGTAGATCATTGGAAGTTAAGACAGATATTTACAGGCTTTAATGGCTACGATGGCATTTGCCCAAGGGGCAACCCTGACATAACAAAATCAGAGAAAACAAGTGCCAAAAAAAACAAAAGACACATTGATAAATGTCCTGATCTACCTAAGAACTTGTTGATCCTGACGTTAGAAAAAGCAACTAAACCTTTTTTTTAAGTCTAAAATTTCTTTTCAAGTATGCAAATAGAGAATATACCCAATTCTGAGAAACTGAAAAGACCAGCATGGTAAACATCATTACTTCACACAAACAGAACATCACTAAATTAAGAAGTGAAACCATAATGCTGGAGGTGGGGGAACACACCTTGGAGAGGCTGAAGGCAAAAAAAAAAAAATCGACTTGAGCTGAGAAGTTTGAGGTCAGCCTGGGCCACAGAGAGGGAGGGAGGGAGGGGGAGGGGAAAGTTGTGTACATCTCAGTAGCACAACACTTTTAACAGAGGTATAAAGCTGGGTTCTGTCTCTAGCACTAATTTTTTAAAGTGCTATTAAGGAAGACAGTGTAAAAATAACAGGTTAGCATCAAAGGCAGTTTCAGATGCCCAGTTATAATGACAACTGCCCTCAATCACACCACAATGTCCTTCCCTTGCACATGTAACTGCCATCAGCACATGAACTACCTCTTTTTAAAGTGCTAGAGTCTCAAAAAAATTAGATATCACAACCAAACACTCCACAAGAGCAGACTCTGCTCCCAATTAAGTTGTTGACAAAATAATTCTCAACTTTCCAATTAAAAAGGAAAAGCAAACTAGGCCTGAGAGACATTTTTAATAATGTACAGCAATGCCCATGACACAGGGTACTATCTAGGGGAATGATCATCCAGACTCTTTGGGTCCAACTTAAGGGAAATGAACAGAGATGGCAGTAAAGCACTGCTTAACCAAGATAGTACTCAGAAAAAGAACCAGGCTACTTTGTTCATGTTAAAAGGGTCCAAACATAGATTTAAAATGCAGCTTTAAATTATGGAATTACTATGTAATTTGGACTTACATCAGAACCATGGGGTAAAAGCAGTTTCTGACACTGGGGAACCAAAAGGAGGGTGAAGAGTTCTGCTGGCTACTCACCATTAGTCTTTAAATGCCACTCTTGACAAGGGGGTTTAGATCTTAAAACACAATACCTTCCAAATCAACTGGTAACCAACATCAACACCCAAGTTGCCCTCCAGGTACAAAAACAGTTCATCTAATCAAACCCAACTAGCTATTCCCCAAATTAATCTAATACACACACACAAAACTAATTTGAAGACATGTCATATCAACCCCCCAATCCCAAAGCCTCCTCTTCCTCCCCCCAGACCCTTAAAATCAGCCTTTGAATTCTCAGTTTCCAACGTGTAACTCCTTGACACAGATGTAATGCAAAATTGTCCAAATCGACAAGCTTTTAAAAGCTAGTTATCTTTACTGAAAAGAGCTTGGGCAAGGGAAGGTTTAAACAGGAATTCTGTTCCTAAAGTGTTACTTTAACTGATTCCTTCTCTATCAAATCACCACCACTACATAATGGTGATACAATGTTGAGCCAATAAATTCAGAATGAAGTACTTTGCAATGGTGTCCTATTACCAAAAACAAGGTGAAAAAAAGAAGGCAATAAAAGCCTCCAAAGGAAAGATTTCTAAACAGAAGTTCAAGTATCTCCCAGGTTGTTGTCTGACCTCCACATACGTTATGACACATGCAAGTGTGTAGCACGCACACGCACACGCACACACACACACAATGTAAAGTTTAAAAAACAAAACAAAACAAAACACCCATCCACCATCATCAGCCAGCAAAAAGCTATCTTTCTATCCCAATCCCTTCCTTTACTCAGCCTGTGTACAGACAGCTCTCTACCAAAAGAGAGTGGTTCACCTTGAAACTCTGTGTTGTCGAGGCCCCTGATGGCCTCCACTGCATCCTCTGCCCGCTCCATGTGTACAAAGGCATAATCTTTCACGATGTCACATTCGATGACTGGGCCATACTCCTCGAACTTGGCCCGCAGCTCTTGGTTGGTACAGGTGGGGCTGATGTTGCCCACGTGTAACTTGGTTGAAGCTTTGCTCTTATTCTTGCTGGCTTCCACGTTGATGTTCACTCCGTGCAGCTTGTAGTGGTGCAGGTTGCGAATGGCATCCTCAGCGGCCGTCTTGTCCTCTATATGCACAAAGCCATAGTTCTTAATGATGTCACATTCCAGCACCTTCCCATACTGCTCGAAGAGTGAACGGATCTCCTGCTCTGTGGCCTCCCGGGGCAGATTTCCAATGAACAGCTTCACCATCTCCACAACAGCCTGCAAGTGAGACAAGATTTTTTAAACAAAAGACCTTGGGTCCACAGCAGTTGTTAAAAAGAAAATAAAAACCACCAGTACCATCTCCTTTCACATACATGCCCACACTCACATCTGCACACAATAATCAAAGAGAAATGGTTATTATACAAGGAAGCAAGCTACACTACCCTCACAGAACGTCTATGAACGAACGAAGAGGTCCTTTGCAGACAGCTTTGTGTATTTTGTGGTGTGGGCAGTCAAACCTACAGTACTGCACATACTGATAAGTGCTCTGCCACCTTCAGCACTATACATTCTAGGCAAGTGTTCTCTGCCTCTGAATTACAGCAGACAAAAGGTTTGAAAGTACCTTCAAAGAGGTCTGAAAGTTTGGGGAATAAATGAAAGACTATGATACTGAACTTTTCTTCCCACTATGGTATTAGAAAACGAAAGACAGTTTCAAAAGCTGGGGTGTGGGTAGTTAAGTTCCAGGAGTTTCCTTTGGAAGTTGCGAACACTTGGATCAGACCATGTAAGAGTTGGGCCCTATAATGTGCTGGAGTAGGGGTACTTCTCTTGGGGGTACATGGGACAAGCTCGTGAAGGATGAGAAACTGCCAGGCCCAAGTGGCTTCAGCGTGGTTAATCCGGCAACAAGGTCCCCAGAAACATCTCCAGAAGGGGTGTAAGTACTAGGCCTAAATCTAAAGGGGATATAAGTACTAAGTCTAAACCTAAGGTGGCTGTAAGAACTAAGTCTAAATGTAAAGGGGGCTGTTAGGTGCTAGGCCTAAATCTAAGGGAGATGTAACTACTGGGCCTAAATCTAAAGGGGACGTAACTCCTAAGTCTAAATCTAAGGGGGCTGTAAGTACTAGGCCTAAATCTAAGGATCCTTCACCGGAGAAACCTAAAGGCAGGAAGCTGAGCGGGGAGGACAAGGTGGACAAACGGAGGCGGTCGGAGGGGATGAGGGGCGCGGGCTGGGTGAAGGGCGCCTTCAGGCTTACCGCAGAGTCGAGGGCCGAGGTGGGCTCTGGGAGACCGCCGCGCGGACCGGACCCCACTACCCCTGCGCCCCAGGAGCTAGCAGCGCACAGGCCGAGGGCCGGATCACACGCGGTCCACAAGCCTCTCCTAGCGGCGCGGGGCCAACGCTCCCGACCAAAGGCTAAAATGGCGCCGGCCACACACAGCGGGGACTCTGGGGTGGATGGCGGGGGGCGGACCTACCACCGGGTTGGTCGTTCATAACGGAAAAGGCGGGCGTTCCCGGAGATCCTCCTCCTGATTGGTTACGGCGAACGCCAATTACCTGAGACCAGGAAGAGGTGGAAACATCAGTACCCCGGAACCTTTAGGCGAAAGCCAATGAGCACCAGCCTAGGGAGACGGAGACACTGACTGGGCGCGAGGTCCAGCGAGCAGATGCGGACGGCGTCGCTTCCGCGTGCGGCCTCGCGAGGCGGCGAAGGGCCTCCGGGCGGCGTCGGCAGCTTCCGGGCGCCAGCTGTCACGCGTCCTTCCACGTGCACCTCCAAGGCCCCGGAGTCCAGCTCCCACATGCCAGGCAGCAGCGGCTCCCCGCACCGCCCGACCGCGTCCCGCGCGAACGCCTCCACCCCAGCAGCGTCCTCAGGGGCCCTCCAGGTCCCGCCCAAGGCAGCTCAGCGAACTCCGCGTGGGCCAGCCAGAGGCAGGGCTACCCCGGCAGCTCCCTCTAGGTAACAGCGTCCAGGGCTCCCCGGGCGGGGTGACCTCTTCTGGGAAAACTGACCCCCACCCTGCCCTGGGGGAGGGAAAAAACGGGAACAGCAAAGGTTTGGTTTGGTTTGGTTTTATTGGGCGCCATCAACCAGAGCTGTGGGTTTAAACTCCCTAGAACTGGCCTTAGAGGAAGAGCTTTGTCACAATCAGCTGTAAACAAATACAGAACATTCTTCACAGGGTCCAGCTCCCTGTCACATTTTCTTGCCCTTTGGCCCCTTCACATCATCCCATATTCATTAAGCAAGCAACTTCATTCATGACCCTTTGCAAAGCAGCTTTTGAAGATGGGGATAAAAGGGAAAGCAGGTGCTGGATGGAAAAACTTAAAAACACAAACAGGCGGAAAGCAGGGAACTTTATGAGAACAGGATGATCAGGAGTGGAAATAACACAAATAGAACTACTACCACCCAGAAACAGCCACAGGGGAAGGAAGAGGGGGAAAAGCAAAAGACAGAACTCAGACCTGATTAAGATCTAGTAGAAAACTAGTCAATAATTTAAGACCATCCTTTACAAAACACCAAATGTAGCCACTAATCTTAGTCCATTTCATTGGTGCACCTGAGAGCTTAAATACCCTAGAACAGAATCAGTAATGAAAACAACCAATTCTACTTCACCTGCTGCACAGGCCCTTTCTGAGGGGGCCCAACACTGCATTACCACAACTCAATGTGCACGAGGACATGCATATGGTAACAGAAATCCTTTCCCCTTTCAGCTTAATCTTCCAACTTTTTTTTTTTAATGTCCAAAAGCCCTGATAAAGCTTTCCTCTAAATTGCAAGAGTACACAAGATCAATTCAACTCCACTAAATTAGAATCTCTACAGGCCGGAAGGGGAGAAGAATGGTAATATAATTGTCAGAAACAATTCATGCCAGCATGTAGACATCAAGACTACCAACCTCCACAGTATGACCCCACCACCAAAAGAAGAAAAATCCCGTTACCTAATTTGCCTTCTGAAAGTCCATTTACATCTAATATTGCCAAGTCACTCAACTGAATGGATTAAATTATCCCCTTACTTTTGAAAAACCATTAGTTTTGAGGGTCATGGGACAACTCAAAATTCTCCCTGGACTAACCTACCCAACCTGGTTCTTGCTAGAATTTCTCAGTCTGTTTAATCACTATCAATCCTACAGACACAGGGGGCTTAACTGTCCCTAGCTGTTCCGTGCTGGTATAGTCTTCCCTTTACTGGCCACCCCACCTAAAGGCATACTACTCCAACCCTGCCTGGCAACTCATCACTTCATGCTTTTTTCAGAAAATTACTGTCACTTTAAATTCTATCTTGTTTTCTGCCCTTGTCTTGGTAAATATTCATTTCATAGTTTAATATCCCCAGTCCTGGAACTGCAACTGATACATAAAAGACACTCAAATATTTGACTAAGTCAACAAATTAATGAAAAACTTCTTGATAACAAGGAGGGAAGTTATTGGATTTTCAGTAAATATCAGGTTAAGAACTTAGGTATGCTGGCTGGAAAGGTATATGCTCAATAGTAGAGCACTAACCTAAAATGTGAAGCCCTTACTACTGAAAAAAAGCCATAAGTACTATATGCATGTCCTTTTCCTTCTCTCACCTAGCATAACATTCCAATGTCTCTCAAACCAAATAGGTGGTAATCAAAGGTCAGAGGTTGCCATATCAACAGCTTTTGATCACAACTTTGACAAATGCAACAAAATAAAGCTTTAGGTAAAGAATTAACTGTAGCTCAGGTTTCTTCATACTAATTCTGTTTACCTTCATGTACATTACTCATAGCTAAAGGAATTTGGTGTTTTTCCCTTAAATAAATAAATAATAAATAAAAGTAGCTTTTAATCCCAACACTTGGGAGGCAGAGGCAGGTGGATGGATCTCTTTGAGTTCAAAGCCAGCCTAGTCTACATAGTGAGTTCTGGGCTTGGTGGCACATGCCTTTAAACCCAGCACTTGGGAGGCAGAGGCAGGTGGATTTCTGGTTCAAAGCCAGCCTGGTCTACATAGTGAGTTCCAGGACAGCTGGGGCTACAGGGAGACCCTGTCTCAAAAAGACCAATCAATCAATCAATCAAACCAAAGCAACTAATTCAAATCCTCTACCTTACTTATCACCCCACCTACAGAAGCATTTTAACTGGCTGTCATCTCCGTGGCCCTGGAATATTATTTTAAAACCATCTTGTCTATCTGGGCTAGAGATGTAGGTCAGTAGTAAGTAAACAAAGATTCCTAAAAGCATTTTAGATGCTATTTTTCCCCTTTGGTGAGTTTCGGTGGGCATGTGCCTTGTTTTGTCTGTCACCCAGGCTGGCCTTTAACTCCTGAGGGCAAGTGATTCTCCTGCTTCCTTCTCCTGAAAGCTGGGAATATAGACGTGCCACTGTGCCCAGCCACTTTGGTGATTCTTAATTTGTTGACAAGGTTACAAAGCTCCTATGAAGAGACTTGTCAGTTATCCAGAAAGCTGACATTTCATCAGAGCCAAGAATATGTTTTATGTATTCTGATCACAAAATCTTAAAAGTAGTAATTATATACATATAATTCAAACAGTCTAAGTTTCTGAAAGAGAAATTAGGGGTAAACACTGATATTTAGACAATCTACACTGGTCTTACCCTTTACAGGTAAATATATATAACTCAGGGCTGGAGAGGTGGCTCAGCAGTTAAGAACACTAACCGTTCTTGCATAAGGCCTGGGTTTGAATCCCAGCACCCACATGGCAGCTAACAGCTGTCCATAACTCGTTTCAGGGGATCTGATAGCCTCTTCTGTCCTCCGTGGGCACTGCACGACACGGGTGCAGGTGTAACACTCATACCCATAAAATAAAAATATTAAAAAGACAAAAATTAAAATATATATATATATATATATATATATATATAAACTCACATTTTTTTTTCAGATAAAGTCTCACACAAGCCAAGGCTGGCCTCAAATTCACAATCCTCCTGCCTCAGCTGTTCCAGTGCTAGGATTAGCATGAACCACCATGCTCGTCTGAAGATGCATACATCTCATAGATTAACTGGTTCCCGGCCCAAAAATGAGTTACAAGTCTGACAAACGTTCAAATTAAAAGGAAGTATTCTCCAGGGACAGTCATAGGGAGTCAGTAGGCTAGCCAAACAAGTGTTGTCAGGGGGTCCACTTCCACTGCCAACCCCTTACCTATCCTTATATCCTTCCCTCCTTGTAACCTTTTCCATAACCAGAAGAATGTGATTCTTGGACACAAAACAGATCCCCAGAGACTGGAGGTGGCCAAAGCTGGTATGGTCCAGTAGCTTAAGCCATTGGCATGCAACATTCTTTGAAAAAATTCCGACTTCATGGGCCTCAAATGTGCTGCATTCACACCTATACCCAAGCCCTTCGCTGAGCGAAGGGCTTCACTGTGCCATCTTCATCCCCATATTCCAATGCCTTGCTACTAGGATGAAATTTAAGATGAGGCTGGAGGAATGGCTCAGGGGACAGCAAATGATGCTCTTGTAGAGAACCTTGCTTGGTTCCCAGCACCCACATGGCAATTCACAGTAATCTGTAACTCCAGTTTCAAGGCATCCAACACTTTTAGGCCCCCTCGGGCTCCAGGCACATACATGGTGCACATTCATACATGCAGGCAAACGTTCATATGCATAAAATAATTTAAAAAAAAACAAAAAAAAAACAAGCGGCAGGGGCGGTGCAGGCTCTGGTCCCTACAATAAAAAAAAGAAAAAAAATCTACTATAAGGGCCTCACTTGTCCATTCAACTCTCCCAACACTAATGATTACAAGGGAAAGAACTAATGCATTTTGGTTTCAATGCACACTAACATATGAAAAGGACTTCTTTTTTCTTTTTGAGACAGGGTCTCCCTGTAGCCCCAACTGTCCTGGAACTCACTATGTAGACCAGGCTGGCCTCAAACTCAGAGATCCACGTGCCTCTGCCTCCCAATGCTGGGATTAAAGGCGTGCACCACCACGCCTGGCTTGAAAAGGACTTTTACACACTACTTAGAACTGTGATCCATACTGGATGAGGAGGTGGGAGTTGCAGCTCAGTTGGTATAGTGCTTGTCTAGCAAGCAAGCAGAAAGCCCTATTCATTTAAATCCCAAGCACCACATAAACTGGGTGTGGTGGTACATGCCAGTAATCCTAGCATGTAGGAGGTAAGAAGGGAGGATCAGAGTTCAAGGTCATCCATATTTTTTTTTTCATGTGTATGCGTGTATTGCCTGCATGTAGGTAAGTGCACCCATGTCGTGCAATGCCTGTGGAGGACAGAAAAGGCTGTCGGATCCCCTGAGACTGGAGTTATGGACAGTTGTTAGCTGTCATGTGGGTGCTGGGATTCGAACCCAGGTCTTCTGCAAGAACAACCAGTGTTCTTAACCACGCCATCTCTCCAGCCCCTACATGTATTTTATGTATTGCCTGCATGGGTGTAAGTGCATTGGTGTCCTGCAAGGCCTGCAGAGGTCGGAAAAGGGCATCGTATCCTCTGGAACTGGAGTTATAGACAGTTGTTAG